CATTGGTTATTACCACGAGGCTTTGAGTGCTACTGACAAGCGCATCGTGTCTCATCTCTTCTCCATTGGTGCTATTCAGGTTCTCCTCGCTTCCCGTGATGTTTGTTGGGAGCTCGACCTGACGGCACACCTGGTGATTGTCATGGGTACTCAATTCTTCGAGGGCCGTGAGCACCGCTACATTGACTACCCAATCAGTGAGATTCTTCAAATGTTCGGCAAGGCTTCTCGTCCCGGCGATGACAAGCTTGGCCGTGGCGTGCTCATGGTGCCTGCTGTCAAGCGTGATTATTACAAGAAGTTCTTGAACGAGGCTTTGCCTGTCGAGAGTCACTTGCAGGCTTACTTACATGATGCGTTTGTCACTGAGATTAGCACGAGAACGATTACTTCGACCCAAGACGCCATTGATTGGATGACACACACCTACTTTTACCGCCGCCTGCTGGCTAATCCGAGTTTCTACGGTTTGACCGATGTCAGCCACGAGGGTCTTAGTACATTCCTCTCTGAGCTGCTTGAAAACACCCTGAAGGAATTATCAGATGCCAAGATCGTGGATCTAGATGAGGAAGATGACAGCGTCGCTCCTCTGAACGCCGCCATGATTGCCTCCTACTACAACATCTCCTTCATCACTATGCAGACCTTCCTCCTCTCACTGTCAGCTCGTACCAAGCTCAAGGGCATTCTGGAAATCATCACTTCCGCCACGGAGTTTGAAAACATCCAGATGCGTCGTCACGAGGACCACATTCTTCGCCGCGTGTATGATCGTGTACCGGTCAAGATGGCTGAGACCTCCTACGACTCGCCCCACTTCAAGGCATTCGTGCTGCTGCAGGCTCATTTCTCGCGCATGCAACTACCTATTGATCTTGCCAAGGACCAGGAAGTTATTGTCAGCAAGGTGCTCAACCTCCTTAGTGCGTGTGTTGATGTCCTCTCGTCGGAGGGTCATTTGAACGCGATGAATGCGATGGAGATGTCACAGATGGTGGTCCAGGCCATGTGGGACCGGGATAGTCCATTGAAGCAGATTCCTCACTTCGGCCCCGAGGCTATCAAGGTGGCGAATGAGTATAAGTATATATCCCCCAGGAATTCCCAGTTGACTCGCGCTAACCCTGCCGGCAGCATCAATGATATCTTCGAGTTCATGGAAGCCATGGATCCTTCCGAGAACAAGGACTACGCGACATTGATCAAGCGTCTTGGTCTGGACAACAAGCAGCTGGCCCAAGCTGCCGCGTTCACGAACGAGAAGTATCCCAACTTGGAGCTTGACTTTGAGGTTGAGGATCCCGAGAACATCACTTCGGGCGAGCCGGCCTATCTCAAGATCAAGATCGAACGAGAGGTGGAGGAGGACGAAGAGCCTGATACGACCGTGCATGCACCATTCTACCCGGGCAAGAAGATGGAGAATTGGTGGTTGGTCGTCGGCGATGAGAAGACCAAGAACTTGCTCGCTATCAAGCGGGTCACTATCGGCCGGAAGCTGGATCTGCGTCTGGAATACATTGTTCCAACGCCTGGAGAGCATGAGCTGACGTTGTACCTGATGAGTGACAGCTATGTAGGTGTGGATCAAGCTCCTACTTTCTCGGTCACAGCGGCGGAGGGTATGGATGAGGACGAGAGCGAGGATGAGGAGGAGGAAGAAGAGTAGACAATTCCTCCCATGGTCTGAATTTGGAATTTTTGTATGATTGTCTGTAATTATATGTTCTAATGGGGAGGTACGATGATTTAGACATGTCATTTGTGATGAGTACTCCAATATCCTGTAAGCAGCGGTATAGTATCCCAATTAGGCCTCCCGGAGAAGAACAGGAGCAAGTCAAGTGCGGCAGTGGCCAGCCGCCCTGACGCCACCTCCGCTCTTCTTCCCCTCACGGTCCCCAACTCACAACTTAACAACTCACCTTAACTACCCTTTCATCCCTTTATCTTCACTCTTCATCCCTTAGCATTCTCTGCTTCTCTGATAATAACTATTCATTCTCCCTCATCCTGAAGTTCACTCTGGTGTGCATTGACTGCGCTACTCTTATCACCAGCTGGAGCTACAGCACCACCGCATTCGAGCTATCTATCTTATCTATCGGGCCCTTGCCGGTCGCAGTGTCATGACCATCCGATCCATGAAGTTCACTCCAGAGTATGTGATCGCTTGGTTTCAGCCTGTTGTGATCTTGCCTCCTTGTCAATGAAGCTTGCTACACTTAGATCCTTGCACTAATCCGCACCAGAGTTCTCCTGGGAGCTCCTCGGCGCTCTGGCCCTGTGCCGAATGCCTCAGGCACCCTTGCGGTGTACACCCAGACCACCTATTCGTTCGAATCCCACTTCAAGACCAACGAGATCCGAGTCTTGGATATCGAGAGCGGCCGATCGGCTTTGATCACAAACGACGCTGGCGCCAGCTGCCCTCAGTGGCTAGGTGACAGCAATCAGCTCGTCTGGCTGAAGGCCAAGGCGAACGGCAACACGAGCTTCATCATCGGCGATGCGCGCGAGGCAGACAAAACCTATACCGCGGGCACGGTTCCTGGCCCAGTCTCGGATCTCAAGGTCACAGTAGTCGAACCGGGAAGGATTGGCTTTGCGGTCACCGGCAAGGCCAACACGGACGGCACCTTGTACAACCCGCACGACGCGAAGAAGCCGACCAGCACCGGGCGCCTTTATACTTCGCTGTTCGTGAGACACTGGGACTCGTACGTTGAGCCCCAGAAGAATGCCATCTGGTATGGTCTGCTCCAGCAGGCGCCCCTGTCTCCGCCCACTCGACAAGCGGGCAAGTACGCTGTCTCAGGGCTCACCAACTTGATTCAAGTGTGTGGCTTGACGGGCGTGGAATCGCCGATTCCTCCGTTTGGGGGCACGGGCGACTTTGACATCAGTCCGGAGGCCATTGTGTTCGTGGCCAAGGATCCGAGCTTGAATCCCGCCACACACACGTCCTGCTCATGCTACTACTGTCCGATGTTCTCCTGGACAAGTGTGACTGCAATGGAGACTCGAGTGTGCGCTGTGAAGGGCCTCGAGGGAGCCATGTCTTCCCCAGTTCTGACTTCGGATGGTAGCTCCATCGCGCTCCTTGCGATGCGCGAGGACGGCTATGAGTCAGATAAGAGACGAATCCTCTACGTGCCTAACCCCTGGAGTGGTGAGATGATCGAGATCTTTGCATCGCCGGATGGAGAAGGCGCCTGGCCTCTGAGTCCATCGGGTTTGACTTTTGCACATGACGACAAGTCGCTGATAATCCAGGTCGAGGAGACCGGACGAGGAGTTCTTTACCAGCTACCCCTAGATAATGTCCGCCACTCCACTCCTGATGTGCTGAAAAAGCTGACACATTCGGGATTTGTGACGGAGGTGTACCCCGCAGCGGCCAACTCGAGTAAATTACTCATCGCTAGTAGCAGTCTTGTGGACAACAGCAAGTGGTCTATAATTGATCCCGAATCGCCCAAGGACGTCCGTGTTATATCCTCGATCGGACGCGACGGTGCTTCTTTCGGGCTCTCGCCCACGCAGGTGGATGAAATCTGGTACCGTGGCGCCAACGATACACCCGTACATGCGTGGGTGGTGAAGCCGTCCAACTTCAAGCCCGGGGAGAAGTATCCGTTGGCATATCTGATCCATGGAGGTCCCCAAAGCGCATGGTGCGAGCAATGGAGCACTCGATGGAACCCGGCTATCTTTGCCGAGCAGGGATATGTTGTCGTCACACCCAATCCTCGCGGCAGTACCAGCTACGGGCAGCGATTCACGGACGAGATTCGTAATGCCTGGGGCTCGCTACCCTACGTTGACCTTGAAAAGGGGTTTGACTACATTGCCGAGAACCTGGACTACGTTGATACTTCGCGAGCGGTGGCACTTGGCGCCTCTTATGGCGGGTACATGGTCAACTGGATCCAGGGTCACCCATTGGGCCGGCGGTTCAAGGCGCTCGTGACGCACGATGGAGTGTTCAGCATGAACTCTATGCTCGCCAGTGAAGAGCTCTACTTCCCGCTGCGGGATCTTAAGGGGCCGTTGTGGAAGGTGCCCGAGAACTGGGAGCGTTGGGATCCCTCTCGTCATACAGCCCACTGGCAGACACCGCACTTGATCATCCACAACGAGTTGGACTACCGGTTGACCATCGCGGAGGGGCTTGCTGCATTCAATGTTTTGCAACTGCAGGGGGTAGATAGCGCTTTCTTGACCTTCCCGGATGAGAATCACTGGGTGCTCAACCCGGAGAACTCGCTCATGTGGCATTATACGGTTCTGAACTGGATCAACAAGTACACAGATCTCCCGGCGGCCTCGAGCAAGTATGCCGAGTTCAGCGCGACGAAGGCCCCATCAATGGAGAAGCGGCTGGAGACTGTGTCATTGTGAGTTGGTGGGTTAATGAGAACTAGGATAATGATTTAGTCACACGTCAATACAGCGTTTATTGTTTTGTGGTTGATTCCATTGTTGTGGGGGTTGTCACAAAGGAACAATGAAGCAGCCCTAATTTGGAGGTGAGCCCGAGTGACCCCTGCGGGTGAGATAATGGACCTCGACGCATAAAGGGATTGCCGTGCGTTGTTTGCTGTGAGACAGAGAGACTTAATATAGCCAGTAGTCTTGTTCCAGCGACGACAAAAGATCGAGTCGACGAGAGAACAATAGAGGCATAAAGACAATGGTTTTGTATGTGCAGCTCGGCGTGGTGTTTCGGTTTCGAGTTATTATAGCATCTCAGTTGGCTGCGATGGGGGTGTGTTGAACCAACAAAGGAGGACGAGTTGTATAACCACTGCGCTGTCCTCTGTAGCAGGAGCATTAGATCTACGGTTTGTTTTCTTCCTCCACGCCTGGTGCATATACAAGCAAGTTTAAGTGATTTTTGAAGATACACAAGTTGAAGAAGTTCAGAGTGATTGATAATCTACAAGCCGATGTCGACGAGAAAGACATTCGAGATGTCTCCGCGACGCAATGGAAACGGCCCTCCCACGCCGCGCATCATCATCGTCCCGGCTTCACCCCCCACCACCTCCTCTCCCACCACTGCCGATTCCGATGAGGAGGAACGCTTCTCGCCCATGTCCATTAGTCCGACGAGTCCGAGGACGACGTTGATTGCGCCCCCGCGACGATTCCGTCGTCTGCTTCCTGCGCCTGAACGGCCATGTCCACCACTACAGCCACAATCACAACAATCACAATCACAACCACAACCACAACCACAACAATCACCACAATCACCACAATCACCACAACCACTACAACCACAACAACCACAACAACCACTACAACAACAACCCCACCCAGAACCAAGAACCACCCACCCCTTAAGCCCCGCCTTCCCCCCCTCGCGACCCTTCCAAATCCACACCTTCATCCCCTCTCCACCACCCTCACCACCCTCATCACCCTCATCACCCTCATCACCACCACCACCCCCCCCAAGAGAATCACCACCACCCTACTCCCCAACAACCGAACCCCCGCTCAAACGCCTCAAACCCCTCCCCCTCCCCCACTCCATCGCCAACCTCATCCCACCGCACCATAACCCCTTCAGCAACCCCAAACCCCTCCCCCTCCCTCCCCAGACCACCCCCAGCCTGCAATCGAAATCCAAACTAGCCCCCCTCCTCGCCCACCTGCGCACAAAACTCCACCCCCTCGTAAGCAGCACAACCGGCCAGTCCCACCCCTCCTTCCCGCAGACCCTGCTGGCCTTCCACTGCCTCACCCACGCCCAGCTGGACAGTCTGGCGCGGCACTTCCACCAGGTTTATCCGGCGGTACCGGCCACCGAGTACTACCCGATCACGGTGCCGCCGTGGGTTGGGACGGAGGGGGCGGCGGAGGTGGATTTGGAGGTCAAGCGGCGCAGGTTTGGGAGGTTTATTGGGTTGAGGGGGTGTGAGTCGCCCACTTTGGAATCTTCTGGTCAGGAGGGGAGGAATGCGTGGGTTGAGATGGCGGAGAGGAGGAGGAGGGTGAGGGGGTGGTTGGAGAGGTTGGAGATTGAGGGGTTTGGTTCCGGGGGGAGGAGGGGGAGTGGGGATAGGGAGGGGGAGGGGGTTATGGAGGAGGAGGTGGTGGTGGAGGAGGTGTACCTGGATAATGGGGCTGGGGTTGGGGACGGGGAGATGCCCTCTGAGGAGAGGGAGACGCCGGAGGAGATGCTGGCGCGCATGGCGAAGGAGTGGGATGCAGCCATGGAGCGGGCGAAATGGGATTCCAACTTTGCGTTGCGGTGGAAGATGGGGGGGTAGTTATAGTTCTTTGTCTTTATCTTTTGAGGTGGTTTCATTGGAGGTGAGGGTATGTTTGATGTATGGATGGATCTATTGAGATTAACTGTCTAGATATCTCGGGTTATATATGCCCTATAGTGAAAGCATCTACTGAGATTAATCGTCTGGATATCTCGGGTCATATACTCAGTCTAATGTCCCATCCCCTTCTCTTGGTTCTCCACCACAATCGCCCAGTACTTCTCGCGGCTGCGCTCCCGGAACATCTTGCCCCATTGGATCATCACCAGGAACACGGCGGCGCACGCCAGTCCCACAAACGCCGCCGAGATGAAGCAGTTCTGGTAGCCCAGGTTGTCGACCCACGGCGTGATTCTGCCGGCCAGCTGTCAGTCCACGACCATCACACACCAAAAGAGCAGCACTCACCCGTATCCAATGGCAAACGACATCGTGTTCCGCACCAGAATCACCGTCGCCATCGCATCGCCGCTCAGCTCGCGGTAGCTGTCCACCAAATAGTTCACGCTCAGCGTGATCCCACACGTGTTGGCCATCGCCAGCAGACACATAGCCACGATCAGCCCGAACCAGTGCACCTGGTGCGCGGCGCCCACCCCCCAGAGCAGCAGCGACCCGGGAACGAGGACCAGGCAGATTGCAAACGGCCACAGCCGCTGCTCCGCCTCCATGACCCCGTTGTTGCGCCGCGCCAGGCGGATGGTGAGCCAGTCGCTGAACCGGCCGGTCAAGAGCGAGCTGAGTCCGTTGTTAGTGATTGTGGAGGCGTATATGTTGGAGGGCACTCACGCAAAGACTACGCCCAGAATACAGGCTAGATAGCTCAGACCGACCATCGAGGAACTGTCATGGTCAGAATCCGTGTCTGTCGGACCATGCGTATTGCACGTACCTGAAGTTGTATGGAGCCCCACCCAAAATGATTGAGGCAGTACCATTGAGCACATTGAACCAGATCAGGTACGACCCGTACGAGAACCTATCGATGTTAGCCACGTTCAAGATCCAATCCAGGCTGTCGCCAACCCACCCTGCGTAGAAAATCACCGGCCAGCTCAGATAGTATAGCGTCTGCCACAGCCGTCGGAACATGTTGTTTCGGGGCAGTCGCGGACCCAGCAGCGAGAGCTTCTGGGCGTAGCTCTTCTTCTTATACATGACGCCGCACTCCGTATCAGCCTGCTGAGCCAGTCCGGAGGGAGCCTTCTCCTTCTCGCTCTGTTCCGACGTCCGTGTGGAAGACGTCAATTGCGACTCGGGCGCGGTTCGCTGCTGGCGCACGTAATTCGTCTCCTCCATGAATAAGAAGAGAAACACAATGGCACCGCCACAGAAAATGCTGGGCCAGTAGAACACCCATTGCCAGCCTTGGTATTCCGCAATGAAGCCGCAGATCACCGGGGCGAAATAGTTACTCCCGGCCAGGAAGAATGCATAGAGGGCCATGTAGGTGCCCCGTTCGTGGGTGAAGTACTATTCATTCTCTTATTAGCTTGGTTGGAGGTTACATGCCATCAAACTTACCACGTCTGTGACAGTGACCTCCGGCAGGGCTTCGATCGGGGCAGTGAAGAAGCCTGATATGATGCTCCGCGCGATCCACTGGCCGTTGGTGTGGATGTACGGGCTGGTCTAGAGTTAGTTAAGCTACCACAGCAGGTGGGCCCGGTGACAGCTTACCCCCACATCGAAGTGCCCTATGAAGTATTAGCAGTGACCCTTTTCCCCTGCCCCCAAGAGTTTCAAGGGCTTACCAAAATCCCAACCAGTGACAGAATATATGTCAAGCGTTTGCCGTATTGCATAGCCAATGGCTGCCAGAACAGCAGCCCCCAGCCCGCGAATAAAAACATATACCCAGTGCCCTCATTCAGAGTCGACACAGAGACGCCCGTAGCATCCGACAGCTGAGTGAGCACCGAGTATACGACCGAACATGCGATTCCCGCGAACAGGGTATATCTATGACGCAATGTCAATACTGCTGAATCACACTAGAAAGCTCTTCGGCCGGTGCCCACGTACACGCTGACACAAATTGTCGAAAGCAGTTTCCGGCGTGGCGCCCAGTTCAACGGATCATCGGGATCATCCGAGGGCTCTGGGATAAGAACGATGTCGCTGTCGCCCTTGTCCAGGTGGCGGGTCGCCAGAACATGTTGCAGATCTACAAGGGTCACTGTGCCGGGGATGGCATTTCTGTCCACAGTCGGGGCCATGGTGTCGGCCAGCGATTGGTAACAACCGACGTGCCTGTTTCAAGAATCTAGGAAAGAAGAGCCAGAAGAATGTTGCTTCTGGTCAGAGATGAGGTCTGCTCCCTCCCTGCGGGCAGCCGGGACTATTAAAGTCTGGCTGTTGTCGAGGAAGCTTTCCGACGGCGACCGAATCAGCGTGCAGCGTACATGTCAACCCTCGCAGAAGCCGGTTGAGTAGCATTATTGACTGCGTTCGAGAGCCCCCTCCCCCCCGCTTGTGGCACCATGGAACAATTCCGTCTGCTATCAGCGTTGTGCACATCCATAGATGATCCAACCTCTTGTCGCCGTTATCATAGGTCTGCAGATAAGCCCCCTCCCTCGGGTTGCATTCCGTCACGCTGAGAAACGCCGAGTTTAAGCAAGCATTGCACGGATGGGGGTCATTGGGAGTCGGGGACCCTATGGATGGGGCAGCCCTCTGATAATCTTGCGCTGATGGATCCACTTGGTTATCAGAGAGTGTCAATGGCCGGCAAAAGCAGATGGCGATAACCAGTCGTGGATGTCTTCCCCGCGCGGCTTCGAGGCGGGCCATCGCGATAACTAACCATTTGCGATGATTCGGACAAGGCGGGGATATCGACCGTCGGCAAAGGATCCTGTTCTCTCCGGTAAGCCAAGCTGCTGCTTTTGCATCGAAAGGACAGATTGATAGCTCGACGGGTCAACCTGCCTGTCGATCCTATCCCCTTTATCGTCTTTTGCTTAGCCTGCCCAACGGTTGTCAACAGGTTGATGTAGACATTTCAGGTACAGCTCGGAATGTACCTCTTCCTCGTCACTGGAGGTTCGCATATTGATAATGCCAGAGGTACAGTACATGCTATGCTTGCACGCAGGCGATTATCATGGAGAAAGGGAAGCAGACTTAGGGAGGCAGAGGAGAGAGAAAGTCTTCCCGGGTGGACCAAGTCAAAGGACAAAATACGAGCGTCCCTCACATCAGACTGCGGTCTGGAACATGTTTCTACGCCTACGTCAACTATCTTCCCAACAATAGATAAGCATTGACCTCTGATAACAAAACCTCTAGAAAAACCTGGCTTCTCATACCAGGTCCTTTGTCAGTAGGTGATCACCCCTGAGATATTGATACAACTATTATATACCTATTAACGCGGAAGGAGATATGTTCAACATTCAAATCATTTCATATGATACACCAGGCAATCCAACGATCAGCACAGCTGACGAGAGCCGGCATTAATGGAGAATCAAAAAGCAAGTATCTGCAAGTAACATGCTAAGGCAACAATAGGAAAAGGTGGCTCCAGTAGATGGCTTAGCTCGAGCCTCCGGAAACCTCATCATCATCTGGTAGCTCCTTGATGACGTCTTGTATGATCTGAATCAATTCATCAATGTCTGGCCGGTCTGCAGGCTCGACCTGTAGACACTTGCGCACAACTTCTTTCACAGGCTCACTGATTGCCATGGCATTGTCACGGTTGTTGTTGTTGTCACCAGCTTTCCCTTTCCCTTTAGTTGCACTCGACTTTTCGTCAGGGAAACGCCAGTCTCCACCTAGTACACACATACTCAGACTGCCGCCAGTCTCTTCGCTCCGAGCTTCGAAGGGACTCTTGCCCACCAGGCAGGCGTAGAGGGTACACCCAAGAGACCAGATATCCACTTTGGTATCAATAATCGAGCCCGTCTTGACATCGAACAGCTCGGGCGCCCGGTAGGGCATTGTGCTGTGCTCCGCTGCAGTATCCTGGACCGCTAGAGCGAGCGAGCGAGAGGTGATAGCGATCGGACTGGGTGCCAGCGACCCAAGGTCCATCAGAATGGGCGTACGACCATCGTCGGCGATCATGATGTTCCCTATTCAAGAGTTAGCCTAGCCAGTCTCTTCCTGCCGCTGCGATTACCATACCCGGCTTGATATCTCGGTGAGCGTACGGACGGAGGTCACCGTCCTGCACTCCTTCCTGACTTATGGTCACTTCGTCATCCATCAAAGGCTCATTCTCCTCGTCATCGTCATCTGCATTTTGGCTGGCTCGTCGCTTGGCCTTTGCCTTGCGAACAGCGGCGTCTGCGTCTGCCTCGGCTCCCTCCCTCCTGACAGCCTTGGCTTTGCGGGTCGGCCCCGAGCCGCTCTTGACACGATACTGGTGCATGGCGCGCAATGCCCGGGCGACTCCCAACACCAACTCCATCAGCCTCTTCTCCGGGAAACGGGAGTGATTGACGAGATTGGCGTTGATCGCATCTTGAAGGTTTCCGCGTTGGTAGTAAGGTAATAGGATGTAAACGGTCTTGGAGCCAGGTTCGCCGCCGTCGGAGCGGAATTTGGAGCCGGGTTCAGTCGAAACACAGTGATCAATGGAATGGATGATGTTGCTGTGCGATGTGAACAGATTGTAGGCCTCGACCTCCTTCAAGGCCTGGGAGACAGATTCTTGGCCAAAGGGGCATCGGATTTTCTTGAGCGCGAACAATTCGGACGTCGCTTTGTCTTGGACGAGGTAGACGTAGGAGAAACCGCCCTGCAAAGTAGGGGCTGATCGTCAGCATAACGACTTGTTCGGAAACGCTGCACTGGACCAGCAGTCAGATGCGGACACTCACTTCACCTAAAAGGCGGAGCAATTTGAAGCTACGACTATTGATCTTCAATTGCGGCGTGCTAGGAAAGCAGCACATGCAATCCGTGAAGCTGTAGAGAAGGTCGAAGAAGTATTGCGCCATGGCGAAAGGGCGCGGCGCGGCAATTGAAGGGCGAAGGTAGGGGAGGTGCGACGAAGCTCTTTGCAAGAGCAGTGATGATCACAACAATACTCAGCAATAGACGAGACGGGCTGTGGTGACCCCGTGGCGACTAACGACTAA